AGTCGATAGTTTAAGGGAGATGAGAATAGACAATACGCAGTCAAAAAGGAAAACAAACAAAGAACCAACAAGGCTTAGCCGAGTTGGTACTCACTAACATAAAAACAGTAATTTGAGGTTGAGATAAGGGTTTAAACCCTTGCACCATCAAGCAACAAACTTCTCCAATATACCAAAAAAAAAACAAAAACAAAACCAAAAACAAAAACAGGAAATTTCGATTGGCTAAGCTTAACAAACATATGAGACAACAAAAAAAAAACCCATTAAAAAAATTGAGACCGTATAAAGCTATGTTTTTAACCTAATAATCAGGAGTGCCCTAATACAACTCTTGCTTGCTCTTTGTTCTTTTCATCTTTGCCTTGAATCTTGACTTCACCATGAGTGTCTTTACAGTGTTAATGAAGTTCCCAACTGCCATGAAAACGAAAAGTAGCCCACAAAATATTACCTGCCCAAAACAGTTCACCGTTATTAAACATTGATTTTTAGGGTGCACACGGTAGTATGTGTATGAATCTTCGACAGGAATTTAAGAGATGGAAACCTGCCACTCAGGAACAACCCCAACTAATGCAGTCTTGAGCAATTGTAGTCCAACATATGCCTCAAATATCTGAAACAAGTTCCCAAAGCAACATAAGAACTAATTTGGTTTACTGTGAGGGCTTTAGAGAGATTTTTAACAGTAATGGATGCCTCATTAGTTAAAGGAACATGATTCTTATCCTTTTTTGTTCCTCTTACTTTAAACAAACAGAACTAAATAGAGAAAGAGCGAGAGAGAAAACAAAAACAGATGGAGAAAAGCAGCAAAGAGGCCTCCCGGAATTTGATTAATGTTTACTTTCGTACAGATGGAAAAAAGAACAGGGAAGCCTATTATTTGGATGAGGGCATGAAAAAAATAAGGACAAAAAATGGACACCATTCCAAAGAAATTCAATAACAAGAATTCCATTGTTGGTCTGCAAGTTCAAAGTTCAACATCTATTTAGATGCAAGGAACACCTAAGTGCAGTTAAAGATGTATTCACTACTTTGACTGTACCATCCTACAGACTAGCTGAGTTTAATTCAAAACCTTCTCTAAACTCTTTCAGCTAGGGCCAATAAGGAAGATATTTAGATCTAGAGGCAGTAGTTAGCTGAAAAACTTGTTCATGCAAACAGATCATTAATAAAAGTTTAAAAAGTCACACGTTTATATTTGAAATAACCAGCAAAATAGCAGGACACCTTCACAACTATAGAAACTTAGTAAATAGTTTAGTTAACCTGAATTACCTGCATGAGGAACAGTATAGGACATAAAAGCCACAATTGGCCATCCACTCCAGCTGTTTCTCCCCAGACAACATCCATTCTCTTAGCCTGGAAAATAAAAATGGAAATACAATAGACTAGGCTTTTAGAACTTAGTTTCCCCAAATTATGTGCATCTGAAGTCAAAAGCATTTTGAATCCTGCCCACGTCAGATGAACAGACAAGTTTATCTAACAAGCAAGAACACTACAAAGAATAAAAATGGAGACGAAGGCTAAAGCTCAAAGTTTGCAGAAATAGTTAGTGAGGTCAAACTCAAAAAATAATTGTTAAAGCAATAGAAAGATTTTCCAGCGCAGAAATTGGAAAACACCTTTCCTAGTGCAATACGAGTATATAATCTCTGGCGTTGGTATCTGTTTTGAAGAAGCATAGCAACACCTTGCATAATAGCCCATTGAAGGAAAAGTTCTACACCTCTCTGCACATTAGCATCTTGTAAATAATCAATTAATAGAAATACGGTATCACTTTATAATGTTATAACAATGACCTGCTTTTGAGCACAATTTGGCTGCCCTTTGATCTCCCGTGTGAGACTAACTAAGGCCATAATCATAGCACAATAGTGATGATAAATCCACCTGTACAAACATTCAGTAGTCTTCAAACTTCCGCATGTGACAGGAAAGGATATCACTAAATAACATAACTTTGTACCATTATTAATGAATCATACATTTCTCTTTAACATAGTATATGGTTAATAATTGCAGACATAGGAAAAAAATGCAACTCCACCCACTCAAAAAACAAATGAACTTTACAGGCAAATTATAAATAATTATCATGTGGTGGTGATCCAAGAAAAAAAAAATTATCATGTGGTTTATTAATTACATTCATTAATAAACAGAAATGATTCTTCTTTCTCAACAGACATTAGACATGCCCCTAGATATTTCTATTGCAATTCTTATCCATGAACACCAAATATACCAATCTAAGATTCTAACAGAAAAATAGCCTTAAAAAATTTAACATATAGAAATAAATCTGAACAGGGCATCACAGGGAGTAAAATTTGCAAAGGAATAAAAACTACTAAAGGAAATCTTTACATGCTATATACAACAAGCAAATTTATAAAGAAATCACATCAGAAGGATCAAAAGACAGATTGATGTCTAGGCAGAAAACCTTTGGGCTAGGAAACCACCTAGCCTTATCCAAGGTTGAAGGCATTCAACTGCATCTAAAGAAATTTTCTCATCTTCAAATCTAGTAATATTTCCAACAGAAGAAACCAAGTGGCCACATGTACAAGATTTTTGAGCTACATGCAATGACATCTAGTACTGAAAATATATCCTCCAGAACAAAGACACAGAAACTGAACAGTTCTAGAGAATGGTTACAGATCATACAGTCATAAGTCAGGCAATACAATGCTTTGAATCACATTGAATATCATTCCTCTATGCAAACATGACTAAAATTTTGTAGACAATACTCCATAAGCTAGAGAACACATTCATGCTTTCAAGCCAAGGAACCTCCCACAGTGATGCATATTTTCCCTTTTACTACACAAAATTACTTCATTTTCAGAATGACCTCATCTATCTTCTATGCATGCATAACTAACTTTGTAGACAACATTCCATATGCTAAAGAACACACTCATGCTTTCAATCCCAAGAACCTCCTGTGGTGATGGTCATTTTTCCCCTTTTACTACACAAAATTACTTCTTATTCAGAATGATCTCATCTATACTTTATTTTTCAGAAGAAAATATCCAAATTCTATTTGAATTTGAAAATAAACATTGAATTTAGCATCATGGTTAGAAAAGAGGAGCAGTGGGTGTGGCATTTCCAATGGAAAGCCCCTCTCCTTCTGCAGATATCAAACCTTTGCAAGCAACTTATAGTGGCTACAATCTTCTAGTGGTTGTTGCCACAATTTTCACAAAGCATAAAAAGAAACAAATAGTCTTAGTAATAGCTGAGCTCAAGCAGTAAATGTAAATAAATAAACTAGGAAACAAGAGAAACTACATCATAGCATCTTGCACACACTAATGATTTGTTGGTCCAATAGATTAAGTGTGAATGAAGTGTTCATAAATTCACAAAGACATTCCAGCAGTGCTCTAGCTCACTTTCTGAATTGCATGTATTCCTGTCCACATTAAGCTTAAATTCTAAAAGGAGCAGTTTACAAAGGCATAAACATTGAGTGTCCACTCCAAGAACATAAAGGATAAAGAATCTGAACTTTTCAAGATGGGAAAGCATATCATCAAATTTGATGCTGTCTGCAAATCACCATCCAGAATAATTCTTTTCAAATTTTAACCTTAAAAAGCAACATCTTAACATATTGCTGCGGCCATAAAAGGACAAATTCTAAAATAATCATCTTCTTGCATTGTAGACACTATTTGTGTGATGAATAAGAAAAAAAAAAGTTAGCTTTAAAGGGACATAATAAGAAGAATGCAATTACCAAGGGCGAATATCACTTCCATTTGCTTGCAGTATGTTCTCTCGCATAGCTAAACCCATATAAAGGAACAACAGCCAGGCCTGATGAAGCATTCTTTCATGTTTAAAAAGTATATGGTTTGCTTTGCTTTACATGTAAAAGAACAGAACCGTTGAAATCAATGAAACTAGAATTAGCATTCAGCAAATACCTGGTATAACTGTACTGGAAATGCAGGCAGGCATCCATTCCACACCCAAGATCTTAAAAAAAGCAGTATTGATGGGAAAAGAAGAAACAGGAGAGCAGTTTTATCCTGCTCAACAAAGTTACGTAATTCAGCATCTTTACTTAACTAATTCAAATGGAAAATACTGACTAATCATTGAAATTCTTTAGAAAATGGAAAACCTTTTATGGTTATACAAGGAAAGAAAGAGGGGGGGGGGGGGGGGGGGGGGGGGGCGGGAATTGAACCTGGGTCTCTCTACTCTAGAGAAGGGTTTATAAGCAATAACCACTAGGATAAGCCTAGTTCGTAACTGATTAGCAACTTAGATTACAAGAACAAATGCAAGTGCGATTAATAAGAAAATAGAACTGAAAAAGATAAAAAGAGTAATACTCACTCTGTAGCTATTATATTCCTCTTTAACCTTCAACTGAACGTCTTTGCGAGTGGCACAGACATTGATTGGCCCCAAAAACATCTTCAGGAATCGTCCTGTGCTTACATTATACATATGAATAGACAAACAAATAAAGATTTGAGTTGCAAAAATCAAATCAAATAAAAAAATAATGCTTAATATTTCGAATTAAATTTAAAAAGAGAGGACATGCAAGTAAGCCTACCCTGTGCTTTGGTGGGAAGGAAAGCAGCGGCATCTCCGTCCGCTAAAATACATCTGGCTCTCTGCAAATCATCTTCTAGCTGCTCCATATCCATGATTTGAATGAGATTAGATTAGGAATTGAAGAGTAACCAAGAAATTTACGAAAAGAAAGAAACGGAAAAATGAACATGCACTAGCCTTATCAGCTAAGTTGGAATCCAAGAGCTTCCGCGAGACAAGGGAGTCAATCAACGACCGGAGACTGCGAATGGAGGACTCCAGAGACAGAGCTTTCTGGCGGAGGGATTGCTCGTCGTTGTTGCTCCGGGAGATTAGGGAAGCAGCTGATTCCTGCAACTCCTTCGCTTGCTCCAGAATTGTGTTGATTTCTTCTTCTACCTTGTTCACCGATTCCTCCATTTCCGGTCCGTAGTTCTCCTGATTGGATTCCTAATATTCGACAACTCTGATGCAATTTACTTTGGTATTCCTCTTTCCCAAACAGAGGAAAGCGAATCAGGTCTCGAGAAGAAGTAGCGTGCTCACTGCTCACGCCACAATGCCAGGCTTCTGTTTACGGGAAAATTACCCCTGACCTTCAACTGATTCCGACTCAGCCCCGCCCCCTTTTATTTATGTGGACTCTGATGCACCTCTTTTAACTCTCCACTCCATCTCCGTTGCCGGACCCACTCGCCCACCCACTAATTTCCGCTATCTGCTACTTAAGCACCTATATTTTCACGAGAAAGCAACTACGCAATCTAACCTCGACAAAAAAAACCCCACACCTAACCCCCTCCTCCCCCAATCACTTCACAAAATATGGATAAGAACGGTGTTATAGGAATAATTTTATTATTTTATTTTTTATATAATTTTTATGTATTATTAAATAAATAAATATATTTAATATCACAATCTTATATAAATTAAAAAAATTAATTATTTTAATAACACATCAATTTATATAAAAAAATAAAATATAAAAAGTATATTAAAAAACATTTCTCATATGAATATATCCCTCTAGCTTATAAACCCTACAAGAAGGTAGTTATTTTGTAATGGTAAAATTAATTATAAAAATTTAAATTTTAAATATAAATTTAATTTATGGTCAAAAATATATTTTTTTATAATTTTTTTCATAAAATGTCCATTTTCTTTTGAGTAAATTAGATAAAATTTAACGTTTCAATGTCACGTGTGGCACATACCCGTTACAATTTCGTCACACAAACACACGTCAGCTGCCAATTCAGCACCACATCAACACCATAATCATTTATAGGGAGTAAAGGTGCAAATAAGGATTTCAGCTTTACATTTTTTTTTATTTAAAAATGTTAACTTTGTCAGTTTCTAAATAAAAGATATTAATTTTTAATTTTTTTTAAATAAAAATGTTAAGTTTGTCAATTTTTAAATAAAGAAGTCAGCTTTTAACATTTTTTATTTAAGGATGTCAACTCTCAACTTTTTCTATTTAAGGATTAATTGAATAGTGATGTTAACTGGCTAACATATTTTTTAGGTTAAATACTTGAATTGGTCCCTCAACTTTTATTTTTGAACCAATTCATTCTTGAACTTCAGAAAGTACCAAAAACATTCTTCAACTTCAATTTTTAATTAATAAAATTATTTCTTAATTCATGGAAGAATTAATTAAATTTTATTTAATTTTATTAAATGGTAGGTGGGACTAATTAACCAGAGCAAATCAAACAGATTGTAATGGAACATTTCACAAATCAATTCACTAATCAGCCCCGACTTCTAGTTCCATTGGGAGGCTTACAATTTGCAAAATTGAATGAGGAAGATAGAGATATGTTAGAAGCAGAATTTAATGACGATGAAATCAGAGAAGCAGTTGCCTCCTGTGCTAGCGATAAAGCACCAGGACCTGATGGGTTTAACTTCCACTTCATCAAAACAATTTGGAGCACAATTGAAGGAGATATCATTAGCTTCATGAAAGAGTTCCACAAGAACGGGAAGCTGGTAAAAGGATTAAACGCCTCCTACATTACGCTGATCCCCAAGACTAAAAACCCCATTTCTTTGAAAGAATTCCGGCCGATAAGTTTGGTAGGATGCATTTACAAAATTTTGGCCAAAGTCCTTGCAAATAGGCTTCAGAAAATTATTGGGAAGGTGATAAGCACAAGCCAGTCCGCGTTTATGGAAGGGAGGCATCTTGTGGATAGTGTCCTAGCACTAAATGAACTTGTACATGATATGAAGCTCAAGAAAATGAAGGGCATCATCTTTAAGGCTGATTTTGAAAAAGCCTTTGACTCTGTTGACTGGAATTATCTAGATTCAATGCAAAAACAGTTGGGGTTTGGTCAGAAATGGTGCAATTGGATAAAAGAATGCCTCTCTTCAACTACTGTATCTGTTCTTGTGAATGGCAGTCCGACTAAGGAATTCAGTATGGGAAGGGGGTTGAGACAGGGCGACCCTCTCTCACCCTATCTGTTTATAATTGTTGCTGAAGGCCTACATGCTCTACTAGCCGAAGCAGAAAGAAAAAACCTCTTTAAAGGGGTAACTACCAGTACTAATGCACCGATTTCCCACCTTCAATTTGCTGATGACACTGTCCTGCTCAGTGAGGCTTCAGTGAGCTCTATCAGGGCAATAAAATTTATTATGAGATGGTTCGAAATCATGTCAGGGCTTAAAATAAATTTCAGCAAAAGCATTCTTTATGGGGTTAATGTGAACAATCAGTGGATTGATATGGCAGCTCAAACCCTAAATTGCAAACATGGAAGCTTGCCTTTTACTTACCTTGGGCTTCCGGTCGGTGGCAACCCACATCGCATTAGCTTTTGGAAACCAGTGATTGAAAAGTTCCGGTCAAAATTGGCATCTTGGAAGGGCAGACTCTTATCATCTGGAGGGCGCCTCACGCTTCTCAAGTCGGTACTCTCTGCTCTCCCTCTCTTTTATTTTTCGCTATTTAAAGTTCCTAAAGGCATTCTTAATGAGCTTGTCAAAATCCAAAAAAAAATTTTGTGGGGAGGCTTAGATGACTCCAAGAAAATTGCTTGGGTTAATTGGGAGAAAGCTTGCCTTGCAAAATCTAAAGGTGGCCTAGGAATCCCTAATTTAGCAATTAGAAACACTGCTCTCTTGGGTAAATGGTGGAGCAAATTTCATGATGTAGATGAGAAGCATAAACTATGGAAGAATATAATTGTCTGCAAATATTATGAGGGAAATAATAATACTTCTATCACCAGCTGTATAACCCCTAAAATGTCTACCATTTGGAGAGATATTCTTTCTATTGGCAGGGAAAATGAAAGAGCAAAAACATGCTTCATTGATGGATTCCCCAGACAGATCGGTGATGGAGCAAAAACCAATTTCTGGTCTGACGTGTGGTTGGGCAGCTCCTCCTTCAAACTGGAATTTCCACGATTATACAACCTTTCCCTCGATAAAGAAATGTCAGTTGCTGACCTCAAACCATCTAAAGGTCAAGGATGGCATTTCAATTGGCGTCATGAACCATTTGGGAGAGAGCTGGACGAATACAAGAGATTAGAGGACACTCTAAAGCCTGTTAACATCCATGACACCAAGCCAGATAACTTCAATTGGATACGCTGCCCATCAGGATACTCAACAAAATCAGCCTACCAAATTCTTGAAAACCCCACCACTTGTCTTCAAGGCAGTATTTGCAGCTTGATTTGGAATCCGTTGGTGCCCTCTAAAGTTAGCTTCATGATTTGGCGCCTCTTCCTAAACCGCCTTCCAACTAAAGACAACCTGTGTCTTCGAGGAGTAAATTTAACAAACAATCCAAATTGCGTGTTCTGCGGTGATCATCCAGAGGACGCAAATCACATCTTTGCCAAATGC